TAGTGGTCAGCCACAATATGAGTGTTTGGGCAGGCGCCCACAGACGTCTTTGTCTATGTGTGCACCTGTCGCCACGTCAACTTGGGCAGGAGTGATAAACAGGAAACGGGGGCGTGGAAGGGACAAACTACCTACTACCACTCATCTTTTGCTTTATTGTGCGGAGCTGGGAGATAATCAACTGGTTTCACTTGGAAAGAAAGTCAAGCCCAAATAAGCAACTTCACGTTCAAAACAAGCCCAAGAAAACGCAACTCACAAGATTTACAAGCGACTTTAGAAAAAAAAAAGCCTAAAGTCACTTATAATAAGTGGACGTGGCAACTATGCAACCAGTCTGCTGGTAACAGCCAAAAGCAGCTGTTCACATGATAAAGGAGGACCACCAGCCTAAGACTTATCGTTAATGCCCTGATGGCCACTTGCTATTCACAGAGAGGGCTGAGTGATACTAGCAATAGCAGCATTGTAAGAAGGTGTCAGTAGGAGATGGAGGCTCCGCCCCTGTTTAATGATGGACAGTTTCTTTTCACAAAGATGGCCTCCTTTACTCCTCTCTCAAACCATCGTTCCTCTCTATCCAGGATGTGAACATCTTCATCCCTGAACGAGTGACTGCTGTCCTGGAGATGAGTCCTGGCCTGATGGTGATGATCTTCTGTGCTGGGCCGCTGGTTTGAGAAAGGAGTGAAGGAGGCCAGCTTTGTGAAGAGAAACTGTCCATCATTAAACAGGGGCGGAGCCTCCGTATTCTGTCACCTTCTTACAATGCTGTTATTGCTAGTATCACCCTCTGTGAATAGCAAGCGGCCTTCAGAGAACGATTGGTCTTTTAAGCTGATGGTCCTCCTTTACGATGTGAACAGAGAGTTCTGGCTGTCACCAGCAAACTGGTTGATCCACTATGAGAAGGTGTTATTTATGAGACTGGGTTTAGTGCAGCTCCTCAGACTGAAGAAGTCTTTTGGATAAAAGACGAAACGTTTCAACAATTTTCATTTTAAATCCGTGCAGGTGACCTGACTTAACTCTGTTAGATTTTTCTACCTGGATTACTGAGCATGCATCAGGATAAATAGAGAAATTAGTTGGAAGGTTGGAGCACCTATTACCCCAAAAATCTCCTGACGTGAATTGTTCAGATTGAAGCTAACGGCAGTAGAACGTTTTGTTTGTGGAAGAAGGCTGTAAAAGCTCGAGCTTCTGCGAAACGGAACATTTAACCTTAAAGTGTCAGCTTGCCATCAACAATGATTACACAAGAATATTTTAACAACTGTGTGGTCTTCTGACAGTCGCTCGTGTGTTTGTGTAACTTAAACGAGGATTTTATAGCATGCAAAAGAATTTTCTGCAGTTGGCGAGCACGATAGGAAAAGTGTGCGCTGAGCAGCCGGTGACAAGAAAAATATTTCATCCGTTTTGGTGTTTTGGATTTCATTTATTTTCCACGAGAGTAAGACACTTTTGGATTTTTGTTCATCAATTTTTTTTTTCATTTGATTTAAATGTCCAAGCTCTTACACTAAGATGAGCCACAGTACGCTGACCCACCTGTTAACAGTTGAGTTCAGGTGTTTCACTCAGCGTTCTGCCTCCTGAGCTTCAGTTTTGAGTAAATCTAATGCTTCAATGTACCCAGGGTTATGCTTCCATCTTTGTGGCAAAACGTTTTATTTTACAACATGGTGCAGAGGTTAAAGAAAAAGAACCTGTGATTGGAAGGTTCCAGAGCAGGGAATAAAATTTGGGTGGGAAAAAGTGAAGCATATCTGCCTCCACCTTCATTTGCCCCATGGTGGATCTTTGAGCAAGAGATGCTAAGCTAATTTTATCTGTTAGCTTCGTGGACACAAACATTGCTGACTCCTAAAGTAGAGTGCAATTTCTGTTGATGGACAAAACAGAAAGTTTGAATACACAGTGATAAAAATCAAAGCCTTGTGGTAATTCTTTTGCAAAAATGATGAAAAAAAAAAAAAACTATAATTGAGACACTTTAAGCTTCCCCTCATCAGAAGCTAATTTAATTATTTATTAATAGTGCACGTGATAAGTAACTTAAAATTGATATTATGAGCCTGACCCTCTCAATGATTACTGTAATTATGCATTTTCAAAATAAGACTACTGTAATTATATTCAGATAGTAAATGTACTTATTTATACGTGAGATTTTAAGCTTTGCTTTCGTGTAAGTTCCATCCATCCATTATCTTTAATCTGCTTCTTCCATTTTGGGTTGATGGGGTCACTGGTGCCCATATCCAGCTATCACTGTGTGAGAGGCGGGGGACACCCTGGACAGGTCTCCAGTCCATCACAGAGACACATAGAGACAAATGAGACAAACAACCATTCACTCTCTCACTCACACCTAGAGACAATTTAGAGTCACCAATCAGCCTAACATGCATGTTTTTGGTCTGTGGGAGGAAACCGGAGTACCCGGAGAAAACCCACACATGCACGGAGAGAACATGCAAACTCCACTCAGAAAGTCCACCAGCCGGGATTCTATCCAGCAACCTTCTTGCTGAGAAGCAATGGGTCTACAAACTGAATACTGTGCCACCAACATATGTTATGAATTTAATTTTGATCATGGATATTTTTATATTTTTTAATTTGAAATATGTTAATTATAAAAATACCTAAACTATAAAGCAATTTAACACATTGTGTTGTGATTAAAGAGGAACTTGAATTTAGAATGTACTTCTACAAAAAACATCTGTCTGTAATTTACAATTTGACCACAAGATGGCAGCAAACTGTAACACAGTGGATCTCTTTCATTGTTACTGAGAAGCCAGACAGCCTGGATCTCTAACAAGGAAATGAAATATCTAATGTCAAACAGACATATTGGGGCTGTGGCTGAGTGGTTAGTGCAATTGTCCTCCAATGAGAGAGATCAAGATTCAAGTCCACCTATTATTTGCAGTCACATGTGGAAGTGTCCCTGAGCAAGACCCTTCACTGCATCTCATGTAATAATAACTAGTTCATATATAACTCCAGTTATCTTTGTAGAGATGTAATGCAGAGCTGTATGAACGTGTGCAGATGGTTAACTGAGGGCACAGATTGTGTTGTAAAGTGTTTTGAGTTTCCTAAATTGGACAGAGAGCTGCTTTATTTACATTGTGTGCTTCAGATGAATGACATATCAAGCAATTATTTTGGAAAATGTATGGTTTATACTTTAATACACAGTTGTTTTCATAGACTTCTATGTTTTTTTCTTCAGTGATCTTTTTAAAAACAGAAATATGCAGACGTGTGCTGGAACATAGTGGCTCCTTCAGGTCTCCAGGTCTCCACACATTCAACTTTATTCTTCCACATCTTCTTCAAAGTGCAAATTGGAAATGTTTGGTTTATCCAGGACCTTTGAGAATTACATGAGCGAGTCAGTGTGATGGCATGACATGTACGTTTTATATCAGTTCCTGCAGGATGTCACAGTCATGTTGTTTATAAATCAACTATTAATGACAGTCTTTTTTCTGTTCATTTAACTCCTCAGAAATGTCAAACCTTAAGTTAATGAAAAAGGCAAGTTAATATTTGTATCAAAACTATTTTAACTCGACAAACATTCAGACTGGACAACACATTTAAGTGATAGTTTCCATTCCAGATACTATCTTGTGCATTTTGAAGTCACTTTTCCATAACGCATCATATGCACACAGACACAGGAAATAGTGCTGTTCCAGACAGGAAGTGCTGAGACCGGGGCCTCAAACGACAATAAGTTAAGAGGAAAGGGAGCACCAAGCGGTAATACGAGTGATTTAAAAACAAAACACAGAAAACTAGTATATCCTGCCTGCAATAAACAAATGTTGCCATATTTTTAAGCTCAGACTTTTTGTTTTTCAGTAGGAGAAGCTTACAGTCCACATAAAGATAAAAGTATGTTTTTAAGCACTAAACTTAGACAGTAGGCTAAAACAGAAAGGTCTCAATCAACTGTGAAGATGAGTCGTAGGAACTGAGTTTGACTCTTAGTCTGTATTCTCCTTTCAGACAGTCAATATGTTTAACTGTGAGAACAGATGGAGACTTTTGTTCTTACACTTATATCTTCTGTGGAGACGAAGACACCGTCTATTATCAGAACTTTTACGATACCATGGCAGGCACACAGCCAACATTATTAACCATCAGGTTCTAACATAGAGCTGGCAATTACTTAAAGTCTAATCATAAATAAGCAAATGCATCAAACTGAGCTAAATTAAATCTAAATAGGTAAACCATCTTTTAGATAAAGACCTGCTCTGTGCGTTAAACGAAAACAAATGAAGCCACTACGTCCAGCTTTCTTTATTTAAACCATATTTGTTGGAGTGATTTAAGAATTTGACCACACGGCTGTGTGTTGATTTCAGTAAAGATGATTTTATATTTAATCACTGCTGAATAAATTAGACATGAAAAGTGTCCCAATAAGCACAACTTGACCATTTCTTGTGTTTATTGGGGCTTAATGCTTTAAACTTTCCTCTCAAAGCCTGTGTCACTGTTTCCCATACAAACACGTTCATTCACACCAGATGACGTGCAGCTTTCTCAATATCTGAGCAGCAGACTGCGACACAGCTCCCTCCCTCCCTCCCTGTGTGTTTCTGCAGTCCTCTCCTGTCCCAGGCAGCTTCCTCCTCCTGCAGTCCTGCCTGCTCATCAATAAGCTCTATTAGCCCAGCACTAATCATATTGTGAGCGACAGAGACAGAGCAGGAGGAGACTCTGAGTGCATCATCTGTGTGTTTGGAGCAGTTGGTGAGGGAGGAGGGGTGTGTCCTAGCTTTGCTCTGTTGTAGTAACCAAGTGCACGCCGGCTGCCAGCCATTACTTCACTGCAGCAGGAATCAGCTCCTTCGCACTGAGTGAGCCGGACACGCTAACCTGTCGGTCCCTCCTCTCTCTGCTCTGCATATTCAGCAGAGCTGCCCTCCTCTCCTCTTCATCACTTTGCCACTCCTGCAGCAGAGAGGGACACTGGCCCTGCTCCTCACTGATTCTGCATGACTGTCACAAAGGTAAGAACCACTTCAGGTCCAGAAAAAACAACTCTCTCATTAAACTGGCACGTTATTTATAGAGCTGTTGTGTTGAGTGATGCAACTAGAATAAGTTATTTAGTAAAAACTGCACTAGTTTGTCATCAAATGGCACAAGATAGTTCATATTATAACAGTGGTTGAACTTTTTTCCAATTTTTTTGTCATCAGACCTGTTAAAAAGACTAAACTTCTATCATATCCTTGTAAACAATGTATATTGGAGATATTTGTTTAAGAAGGTGTTTATTTACTTTGTTTTTAAATATTAAAAACTGATTATTGGGCCAATATTTTTGGTGTTTTTCTCGCTTATAGCAGTTTTAGTTTCACGTGGCTTTAACTTATGGTTATTTATAAAAACTATACCATATTTGATGGGCTTTATGAAGATGTCGGACAATTTATAGGAGTCTCGAGCAGTATTTTGTTGTCTTCTTAAAGTAAACTCCAGCTTCAAGACTTGATATTTTTAAATCAACTTTACAGCAGCTTCAGGATCAATGTGTCACACTGGTGTGCTTTAACAGGTAAAACTAACAATGCAGTGTCACTGTGATGATACCAGCTGTGTTTTGATGTGTGTGTGTCTCCACGTGCACCCATGTGTTTGTAGGTGGTTTAGCTGTGCTTTACTTGCATCAACCAGATGAATCCTCTTAATCAATTACCAGAGAAGAAGGTGCACAGAGAGGAAACTGGCACACCTACTCCCGTGTAGAGAATTAACCCAGACCAGAATAGATGACCCACTGCAGACACGGGACGGTGGCCTATTTAGTGATCCTATAGTCACACACCTGCACCGTTCACACTCGAGTTAAAATTTGTTTCCAGGCTGAAACATCTGATTCAGATTTACAGACAGATGCTCACAGAGTTGTGCGAGAGGTTGTGTGGGAGGTGTGTGAGCTGCTGCGTTGGTGGACCATTTCCACAGTGAGAACTGAAAGAGGAAAAGGTCAGATGCTCGTGTGTTTGCGCTGAGCTAGCCTCACTGTAGACAAAACCAAAAGGCACTGAGGAGATATTTAAGACAAGGAGAAGGAAGAGAAGAACATAAGGATGTAAAAAGAGGTAGAAAAGCAGGTATCTGAGTGGTTTCTAAAGAAAATATGAGTGTGTGGGAAATGCAGTGAGGGAGTCTGGAGCGTTGTTTTCATGGCTCTGCCTGCCAACAACAGAAAAGTCACCTTGGATGGAATACAGGACACCAGCTTCTCTGCTGACGGGGCTAAACAGGCCCCCACCCGCCCTGCCCATCTAGCTCCGATGGAGTGAGGGAGAGATGTCCTGCAAGGCCTGTTCACTGTCAGACACGATTTGTATTTTTAATTCGTTTTTATACTCATGCAGTTAAATTAGCTGTAATGCCTAGTACACATGTGGTGTTTTATAATGTAATATGCAGTGTGTATTACCTTTTTTTTGTTATTTTTGTTTAAATAAATCACTGAACTTAAAGTCCATGTAACTCATTTATTTGGTTAGTTAATTGACCGGGAGACTGTTAACTGGTGTTTGTTTGGCAAACCTTGAATAGGAATAATGAAAAAACTCACTGACAAGAAATTAGTGAAAACTCCAGAGCACAACAAATTGTTATTAATACTTGTTAATACTTGTTTAAAAGTTCGTAGCCTTTTTTTTTTTTTTTTTGGCATTACCAACATAATTAACATTTCCAATAAAAAAAAATACCCATTGAAGACCTTGCATGCATTGAAGGAATGCCAGGGTTTTATATCAGGATCAACCACTGCTGAGAAATATTTAATTTCTAAAGGAATGACTGATGAACTGTCAGTCATGTACTTTCCTCCAATGGAATATTCACATGATCAACTAGGAACTGATGGCTGGCTGGATGGATGGATGGATGGATGGATGGATGGATGGATGGATGGATGGATGGATGGATGGATGGATGGATGGATGGATGGATGGATGGATGGATGGATGGATGGATGGATGGATGGATGGATGGATGGATGGATGGATGGATGGATGGATGGATGGA